CATTTTGGGGTATGTGGTTTTATGTCCCGTAAAATTACAAAAAAAATCTTTACTTGAAAAACATTGCAAAAGGTGGTTTGAGTCATTATAAATAAATATCTATTTATATCCAGTAAATATCTGGGTTCTAGGTCAAGTGAACGTCCAATACATATTCCAATTTCCAATCTTGATTTTCAAGTTTACCTCAATTAGAGAGACAATAAAAGGAAAAATTTTTGGTATGTAAAATAATCGTAGTTCTGCACTTAAGAAAATTTGGATATCAGTTTTAGTTCAAACTTCATTCAAATTTTTATCAAAACTTGAAAAAATATTGGTGGAAATCATTTTTCAGAATCAAGAATTTTCCAAATATAGGGAAAAAGTTAGCTTTGTACAAAAATTATAAAAATTCAACAAATTTTAACAAAATCCCTTAAATTTTTCAAACTTTTTATTCGGAAATTTGGGTAAGCAGTTTTGTAACCCATTTTAGTAGGTTAAAAAGCAAACTTCAAGATGCTTGAAAATCGCGTTGAATTTTAATAATTTTTTTTTTTTTTGCTGATGCTACTGAACATTTTCTTCCTTATGAAAAGAAATTTTAATCATTGTCAAGCATACTTATATGAGTATCGACTAAAGGCTAATAAGGAGTCAAATATTGGAGAAAAAAAATATTTAAAGAGAAACTAAAACAAAACATTCGCCCATAAAACGCATTAAACCTTTTTCTAGACTGTACGCGCAGAGCCTTTCTCTGACCTCAATAATGCGGTTTCCAGCAAATGTTGTTTTACTTTTTCTGCTTTTATTTCTCTTCAATTTGAGATTTTCTACTTGAAATTGACTGTAAAGAGAAATGCAACGAATAAATTGTATAAATAATGTAAGAGGAAAATGAAAAAATAACAAGAACATAAATACATAAGACGCTGATAGTCTGTCATGCTACGAGATGGGTTTCAGAGAAAGAATGGAGAAGAAATTATTGCGTTTAAAAAAATACACTGACAGATGCACTGCATTCGAATACAAACGCGCGCATATTTCATATGAATAATTAAAACTTTTTTTTCTCTGTGGTTGTGCTCTGGGAAGAGGTAAATACTTAGCACGTTCCCGCAAGTAAGCACGTTAAAATATTTTCAGCAAAAAATTTTATTTTGCATACTCGTACACATATGTATGTATGTACGAAAGACAAAAATCATGTGTCGTAAGACATACATATGTATGCCAATTATGGCAACGCTTTCCCGTCTTATGGAAGACTACCTGAAAGATCCGCTAACGAGGAGGTCTTAGCGCTATTCTGTTTGTCTTTTAGCGATAAGTTTTCTAAAAATTAAATAAAATTTAAAAAGATGTACATATATTTCTTTTAAAAACAAAAACTCAAAATTAAAAGAAAATTATATTGCAAAACGTAAAAAAAATATTAAAAAATTATTAAAATTATTTTCTTAAAATTTAATTCAATTAAAAAATATGTTTCTTAAAAAAAAATAAAAAATAACATCTGTAAATTTAAAGAACTTGAAATTAAAAAAATAATGATAATTAAAAAACAGAAAAAATAAAATAAATTCCTAAAAATAAATACAATAAAAAAATCTCTTAAAAATACATAAAGTTCCTAAAAGTTAAATTAAATAAAAAAATTCTTTTCAAAACAATGAGTCCTAAAAATTGAAAATATATTAAATTAAAAAAGGAAAATAGATAAATTAAAAAAATGGAAAAAAAAATTCTGCTGCCCGAGGACGAATTCCACGCTTTCGCTTTCTCACTCGGTCACTGCGACTGTTGGAGCACCGCGGGTAAACTGATATACTTACATAAAAGTGCTTTCTTTCAAAAAAGGTGTTTACTATAAAAGTTGCCAAAGGAGCTTTTTGCAAGACTTTCGTGCCAGAATAAACAAAGTTCTTTCAAACTATCTTACCTAATATCTTTCAATTGTCTTACAAAAGACTTTCAACTATCTTAGCCAGAAGTACCCCGTAAGTATTCGCCTATCAAGAGTAAAAGCTCCGTGGTCTCCGCAGGCATTGAAGTGAAACTTCTTTAGCGGCGGTTGGGTGGTTGGGAGTAAATTGGCAAATTCAACGGAAATTGCACACGGAAATGGTGCAATGGAAATGGTTGGTGCTGAAACAAGTGCTTCTATGGTATTAATTTAACTAAAATTTGCTGAGAAAAGGTTAAAGAAAAACACTTAGAAAAAGCCCAATACAAGAGTGAAAGTAAAGGTGACTACGTACATAGGATAAATGCACAGGCAAAAATAAAAACAAACACAAAGATGCGTAAAGATTAAGGCAAAAATGAAGGCCAAGGTAAATTTAAACACTTTACTTATATATATAAGGGCAAAGGTGAAGGGGAATATGTATGTAAATGAAGAAAATGATAAACATAAAAGTAAAGACAAAGAGGAAGATGGGGATACCGATAAATGTAAAGATGAAGATGTGGAAAGAAAGATTAAAATAAAGGTGATTTAAGAGGAAAGGATATAGAGAGAGACACAGAGACTCAATCTGGGAATTATTTCGGGATTTTAGAAATTTTCGGAATTCTCGGGACTTATCGATATTTTTATCGGTTTTGTTAACGACGTTTTTATCGATTATGTTATCGATTTTGTAATCGATATTTTTAACTATTTTGTTAGCGATATTTTTTATCGATTTTGTTACGGATATTTACCGATTTTGTTATCGATATTTTTAACTATTTTGTTAGCGATATTTTTACCGATTTTGTTATCGATATTTTTATCGATTTTTTATCCATATTTTTCGATTTTGCTATCGATATTTATTGATTTTGTTATCGACATTTATCGATTTTGTTATCGATATTTATCGATTTTGTTATCGATATTTATCAACTTTGTTATCGATATTTTTATCGGTTTTGTTATCGATATTTTTATCGATTTTGTTGTGGATATTCTTTTCGAGTTTCTAATAGATTTTTCTACTAATATTATTATCGTTTTCGCTATCGAAATTTTTATCGACTTCGTTATCGATATTTTTATCGGTTTTGTTATCGATATTTTATTGGTTGTTACTATCGATTTTGTTATCGATAGAGTATAAAGATAAACATTAAGATAATGAAAAACAGAATGACATAAATGTAATTAGGACGAACAGAGGTAGAGGTAGGGATCTAGATAGAAAAAAGTCAAAAAATATAACCTTAAGCAAAATCAGATGTATGTATGTATGTACATATGTATGTATGTATGTATATTGGTTATGACACAAAATAGATATGTATGTAACGTAAGTTTCACTTCTCCAGTGTGGCCCAGGCGCACTTACTTTTTTTTTTTGTTTTTCATTTTAAAACCTGCGTAGACTTTATTTATAGCCATTCGGTTAAAATTGCACAACTAGTCTCCACATAGAGCATGCTCGAACAAAAAGAAACAGTTTATTTCATTTTTCGATTCGACTCTGGAGAAATCCTTGAATTCATGAATTTAAAAGCTTAAACAGACGGCAGCGTTGATCCGGATTAACTCGGACTTAATCGGGATAAACTGCAGTTAATTTCCGCGTTGATTCTCAGTTTGTTAGTTAAACAATAGAGTTTAGCCTATAAAAGAGCACGGCAACCTTTGATATCTCAAAAGTGAGTCCCTATTCCTGCAGGGACGAGATACCTTCGCCTAATAAATACTAAATAGACCATGGTTAGCGAATTGCTCATTATAGATAAGTTTTAACGTCTTCAAGACAGAAACAATATTCTGACTTTATGGCCATAGACAGATTCGGTGCGTAAGCATAAAAATCTAATCGGTTCCGATCAGTTAGATACCCGTATGCGCAGAGTTGATTGGTGGGTAGAAGCGTCGTCTCCTTCGCATAATTTTTCTAATGCTTTACAGGCCCTCTCGATTCCGCTTGGAAGATGCTAGCAAATTTCGGTAGTTAGAACGAGAGCGACATTCAACACGTCTCAGAGAAAATCCCCGCATCAAAACCATAATCCATTTTGCAACCGTCAGTATAGATTTCTGTGAAATTCTCCTCGACTCTTCTGTCCCTACTCCAATCCCGTCCATGAAGAATATTGGAAGTTTTTCTGGAAATCGATGGTAAAAGGTTTGCCTGATTCAATATTCTTGTCAAGAATACTCCTATGACCGTGCTGCTGCGCCCTGCAGCTTTTTGAGTCTGATTTCCGAGCTGGTAGAAATTTCATGGATGTGCATTTCAATGGGCATTTGTTGTTTTTCTTTTCTTGGTAAACAGCATTAGTTCCGTTTTGTTCGGATTGACACCACTTTTTATGGCCCATGGGTGTAGCCTGAGCAGGGCTCCATCCATGATTTCACTAATCGTTGAGCAAAAAACACCTGACACCGCCACCAATAGATCATCTACACATGCTACCACCTTTACTCCAACATTGCTAAAATCCAGTGGAATGTGATTCAGTGACACCATCCAGAGTAGTGGAGACAGAACTTCCCCATTTATTAACGGCACAGTGTTGCTGAACCAGTAGTTTATATGATTCAGTTTCTAAGCATATCTTCGGTCCCCACCTTTACAAAATATTGTATAATTTCTTGGATTGTTATGTTTTTAAACATGTCGAGGAAGGCGCTAAAGTATACTGATCGAAATGGATTGATTTTTCTATGGTGTCCATGAATGAAGACAACTTTAACTATTTTCCAGCTTTGAGGGATGTAAGTCAAGCTGATACTGGCTTTATAGACCCCTTCTAGATAGGATACCATAGGTTCCTGGAATTTCTGCAACATTAACGGTATGATACCATCCAGACCAGGGACTTGTATGGAGAGAAATTGGTTGTGTGGTTTTATAATAAAAAGTTCCTTACAGTAAACCATTTATAATAAGTTATAACGATTTATACCTTAAATCGATTTAATTTTGTTCTAAAAGGCGTTTAAAAATTCCATAAATAATTTATTTTTCTTAGTTATTAGTTATTTTTGCAATTAAATTTAAGCTGTAAATACATAAAAATGAAATAAAAGCTATATAAAATGTATTAAATACTGTGAGAATATCAAAAGCGTTTAGTCATCGGTCAACAGATTATCTCTTCCGGGTCAACAGATTATCTCTTCCACCACATCTAGGACGTTAAGATCTCCATGAATGTTAAGCGCGGTCAGTCAGTTTAATCGACCCTCAGTTATCAATAATCTTAAGTACCTACTTTTTGAAACGACGCAATGTTGAAAAAGAACATTCACGTGTAAGATGTGATGAGCATTCGGAAACGTTTTTGAATTGCAAATATCAAGCGGTTCGAACGAATTTCCAGCGTCTTTGTCGGCAACGAGCCGGGGCCAAAGTTGAACTTCGGCCGCGCTTCAAAAAATATCCTTCCTCAGTCCAACTCCGGCTACGCTGGCCCCAGTATTTTTGTAACATGAGAATCATTGTGCAAAATTTTCGAGAACACATAAAACATCAACAACTCTAATTTTTCCCTGAAATAGATAAGAAAAATTTTATAAAATATTCCGAGCGTTGAGTTTGACATGAAGTAAGACTTGGTATTCGTCAGTCATTTACCGTGCGTTTTGCTTATCGTGTTTACAGATTGTAAAGTTTTCTTTTAGTTCTCCATAGCATTTTTTCTTCTATGCATTGGCTTCTTCATTGAAGCATCCGCTGGTTCTAAAGAATTTCGCATATTCTAATTTTTTTGTCTGAATATCTCGATTGAGTGACATGCACGCAAATCTGAGAATAAAAAAAATCAGTATATAAAAAAGTAAATATGATCACAATTTGAATATTATTAAATAAATATATGTATGACTATCTGTATTTAAGCTCTCGTTACATAATTTGCACCAAATAAAAAATTAAAGAGACTTTAAGGCTGCGTTTCTTTATACACTCCGGATAATGCCATTTCACAGCCTGAATAAACAGAATGAGCTTGAAATATACTGACTGACTGATTTTTATTTATGACTTTTATAAATAAAATACTTCGATAACTGTTATCTAAGATGCATAAATTAAAAATCAAAAATAACTGTTATTTTCAGATTATTTAGATGAAAATCACAAATAATTTTTATTTTGGATTTATAAGATAAAATTCAGTTATAACGGTTTTTTAAGGAGTAATTAAATAAAAGTCAAAAAATAATTGTTGAAGAGCGATTTTTTTAATAAAACTTGTAACTCTTACTGTCCCTGGTTTAGATGTTGTGTTTGAACTTGGCTCACTTTGGAACAAATACTCATGCAGTTAATCGATTTAATTTGATTTTGTTTCCTTTCTCAAGTTAGTCCAAATATTCACTTTTTCAATTCTTGGACTAAGCCACTGGCTAGTTGATTTGCTCTGCACACTCACATGCACACACTCGATGCGATCTCAATTGTCTCAAGAAAATATTGGTAATCTAAACCATGAATTGGTTTAAAAAGTGGGGTGTATTCAGGCGCATATGCACATTTAAACTGAGATAAATATATTTCGTCGTTGAAATTACAAAACCGCGTATCAAAATAATGCAAAACCGCGTATGCGAGGTTGCATAAATTATTTTGTAGAGAGTAATAACACTCATATTTTAAAATTGTTCTCTCTTTTATAAAGCAATTGCATTTTTGGATGGTATATTTCAGGGCGGATAGATAAGGCTGGAGAGAAGAGCTTCGGTGAGCAAATCCAATTTTTGGCAAAAAATGTTAGTTACGCGGTTTTTCAGAACGACGATACGATCATAATTTTTTGGCATTTTTGAAATTATGCGCTAAAAATATACACAGAGCTTTTTTATTTACCTTTCAGCAATAGAAAAAGTTTTTCGCATTTTCTAACAAATGTGTAATTTTGAGTTGTGTCACCTTTGAAGATCGTGTGCGATATGTACATTCAAAACTTTCTAGACTTTTTGGTTTTCTGAGTTATGGCAATATTGAAATAAATGAGCGATATGTACATATGTATGTAATATAATCGTAGTCTACGTTGGTAATAGAAATGTAAACAGTCAGGCATTAATATATTTCGGCAACATTTGATGGACACACATAAAATAAGCTACATATGTACATATGTATGTAGTACCTACATGCATAGAACGATGTTAGCACGTGCTATGTTGACAAATGTGCTTAAAAATATTTATGGCAATTAGCAATTGATTTATTAATAGTTTGCATGATGAACGATAAAAGCCATTTTTAGATCCAAATGTATGCAAATCGGTCAGAAGAAAAAATAAGCATTTTCAAAGGAGAGAAATATATGTACATAGATATGTGTGTACTTATGTACATTAGACCGACCGTAAAAATAATTTCCTTTGCAGGTTGAGGAGCAACAAATTTTTTAATGCAAAAACAAAAACATTACTTTTAGTACACAAATGCCAATTTTCAGCTAATCTTCTCTTCGGCAAAATTTCACTTTCTCTAAAGTAAAATTCAAAATTTTGTTATGCCAATGCAAATAAAATCAGCTGTTATACTAACAACGCCTTATATGAATTCGACTTGGTGTTTCCTTTAAAATGACGATTCTCAAGAATTTGAGAAGTTATTTTATTTTATTTAGGAATGCACTAGTATTAAACTTTGCACTATCTTATCTTATAGGCAACTTGTATCACATTGTGAAACATCTTCATGAATTTTCCCATTTTAAGAGCGTAAATTTCCCTTATGCTATTTAGAATTTTTTTTTTTTTGATGGAGTTGTGTCCAAGTTGAAATTTCAGGGGCGCACTAATGTATGTAGGTATATTCGGTATCGGTGATATCAATAGCGCCCCTCTTCAAAGTGATAATCTGCCTTATCCTGAGTTTCGTCCGAAAAAAATTTCACCTGAAAATTTTTATTCCACCCATAGTAAATATTTGGAAATCAAAATCCAAAAATTAACCGTTTTGGGGAAAATTAAACTCATGATAACGCTGATTGTTTGCCACTTCAAGAATTTTCAATTAAAAGACATTTCATTCTCTAACACAACTCATATATGTAAACCCCAGTTTAAAATTTCTATAAAGCTAAAAAACGCAAACAATTTGCACTTGAATTTCAAACTTTTTTCTCAGCAGTATTAGAATTTTTTTAAATCCAATTTTTTATCGAATTTGTTTCCATATACTTAACGAACAAACACAATTTATTTTTATATGGAAGAAAACTTCAACATCTTTGGCAAAAAAAGATTCTAAAAACTCAATGGTAATATTTAGCCCTTTGAACCTTGCACTTTATTGGACTAAAATTAAATGGGCTCCGAAACTGTATACTCAAAAAACATCGAACACTTCTGAGAAAAAAGTTTGAAATTTGGGTGAAAATTTTTGTCATTTTTTTTAGTTTTCTACAAAGTTTTAATATGGGGTTATTATGGGTTTTGTATTTGGAACTGTATTTTATTTGTCAATTTTTATTTTGGCGTATTAATATTTATTTCAATAGTGTTATTGAGCTTTGTACCACGATTTGTTTGTTAAGAAAAATGGAAAAAACAACAAAGCTTAAGCGGTAGAGCTTAAGTTATATCAGCTATTTCGGAGATCACCACATCTCCTCATCAAACTTTTTTTCTAGACATTAATTGAAAACTATGAGTTTCTAAGAAAAGTTGTATAACTAACTAAATATGATACCAGTATTTAGTGATAATTTTTAAAGTTTTGCCGGAAATTCAGAAAACTCTTTAAATCTTTTACAAGCTTTTATTATGTTTCACATGTGTGTAATCAATTCTTGAAATCAATTTTTAACCAATTTTCTGATGAGCTAGAGACTTGAAATTACAAACTTAGCTCAAAACCCGATGGCAATGTAACATGAAAGATGAATTAATCCGCAAGGTAACACAGGTGTCGAGATATTTTTAAAATCCGTATTTATGGTCCGATTTGTTTAGAGCAAATATTACTTAAATGGAAAGAAATGCCTCCACAAAATGTTTAGCCGTCAGGTGATCCGAGGGTCGGTTTTTCTTTTTTTTTACTTACTACTAATAAAAGCTTGTCTTAAAATTACTTTTTTTAAATTACTTATATATAACAAGTTGAGACCTAACCACCACAATAACTTAAGTGACATTTATTTCAAAATTTTCTTTTTGATGTTGAAACGCATCAAGATACTCTAGGAATATTTTTTTGCATCAAAAAGAGAATTAAAAAAAAAATTTTGCTTTGATACGTTATCTTGGCGGTTAGGCTCGATATGTTCCACTTTAATCTTGAATAACTTTTGGCTTAGTGAATTTATAGAAAAATCATAAGAGACTTCTTATAGTCTTTAACTTTTGGCGGAGTGAATTTATAGAAAAATCATAAGAGACTTCTTATAGTCTTCAATTCCTTTCAAAAGTATATATGCTTATATTTCGCTCAATCCGATAATTTGACTTATAAGCGCTTTATAACATTTCAAAATTGAAAAAACGGGTTTTCCTGTGCCTGTACATTAGGGTTGTCCAAAAAAAGTGTAGTCGGAATTTTAATGCTCTCACCCCCTAAGATTGTTCTATACCGAAAAACCATATCCCTGTTTTTTTTTATTTAGAAATCAAAAAATATCTATAGGCCGCTCATAGCGTTCAAAGTTTTCCATGTATTTTATATGGGGAAAAAAGAATTTTCATAATATTTTTCGATCAGTGAACTGTATTTCTTCTTAGGAGACTTCCAGTTATGCAACAATTTTATATAGTTCTCCTAAAAAACTCAAGATAATCAATGGGGACCCATAAAAAATCGTTAGTTTTAAAATATGGTAAAATAACCAATTTGGTATTATTGCTGGAAGTCTTCTAAAGAGAAACAGAGTTTCCGATCGAAAAATATTAATTTTTTTGATTTCAAAATGAAAAAGCCGGGCTATATTTATTTTAGTATAGAACAATACTAGGAGGTGAGAGTGTTAAAATTCTGACTTGCCTTTTTTTGGGACCATCCTAATGTGCATTTTGGGAAAATAGAAATTCGCGTTATTAAAAATAAAGACAAGTCTAATGTATATCCATTAAAGATTTTATTTTTTTCGATTTTTTCGATTCCCGGGATTTTCGAGACTTAACAAAGGGGGGATCCCGCCATATGTACTATAAGCAGAAATTTTTAATCTAAATTTTTTTGTTTCACTTTCTTTTTTACAGAACAACGAACATCGAAGGTGTCGTCACGATGAATGGACGCGAACGTAATTTGAGTATTTTCCGCAAATTATCCGCTTACATTATGCAGGATAATCAATTGCATGGCAATTTAACCGTTCAGGAGGCGATGACTGTAGCAACGAATTTGAAATTGAGCAAGAAATTCACAAAGGCGGAGAAGAACTCAATGGTAGGTGTCAAATGATTTTTTTTTTGTAATTTTCTCTCCCAAACGAAAGTAGGACCAATAGCGTAAAGCTAAGGGTCGAATAAGCGAAAATTTTAAAATGTTTTTTCTTTGCACTTAATACACTTTATTAGTAAATAAAAAAAAGTCTATGCAGTATGTTTTTTAGAAAAACATAAATAATTGCGTCTACAAAATAATCTGATAGCTTTTTTTTTTTTTAGTCAGAAATTTTCCTTTTCACATAATATTGCGTAAATACTAGCCAAAAATTTACCGACTAAAAGCTGATTGGTTATTGCATAGCTGCCGCCAGCGTTTTGCATATTAAACATTTCAATTCAACAAGTTTTTATTTAATGTACCCAACTTGTGTCTGCTGTCAATTATAAAGAAAAAATTCATAACACTCATGCATACATAAAAGAACTGAACGGTTATAAAAAAGTTATTAAAATTTTTCTGCACTGCCTTTATCGCAATTCTGCCAGCAAATTAAAAAAACCTGTTTTGCAAAAAAAAATAATAATTATAATGTACATACATACATATGTACATATGGGCTTTTACATAGGTTACGCACGCTTGTTCGAGAACGTTGTTGTTGTCATTTGATGACGCGCATGCGCCAACGTACAAGGGGCTGTTAACACGCGTTGTTAATTAGATTTACTCAGAATCACGCTCGTGACGACATTGCACTCAAAGCAGCGAGCAAGCATCTCCACCAAATGCTAAGTGAACTCTTATAGAGCGCTCTCTGTCTCGTTAATAGCGGTCGGGAGGTGGACTCAAGGTCAATTCCACTAAGACCGAAATGGTACTATTCGCAAGGAGATACATATAAAATACCGCCTTTTCCACCCCCCTCTCCTACTAGGTTAAATACTCTCAGAGAATCAAGGCGGTTGCTTACGCCGATTATGTAGCGACACTGTTATCGGGTTAGTTTCCTTTGGTCATAAGTGAAATCATTACTTACGGGACGCCGATCTGGTGGCCAGCCCTTACTAAGGATCGCACAGTTAAAAGGCTAAGCGGAATTCAAAGGTCAGCAGCCGCTGGCATAAAAGATGCAATGAGATCCTGTTCTTCGAGACTTTTTACCCATAGATATCTTTATCGAAAACTCAGCTGCTTATAGCGCCATCAGATTGACGCCTGGGGTTCTGGAAGAAAATACCGTTCGGGCACGGTTCCATCTTAGATGCACTACCGTCTGAAATTAAAGCGCTGCCCACTGACTATATCCTGTCGAAGACCTGGGCTCACCACTAACCCGCACGAAATTTCCAGGCCGCAATGACTGAAATCAATAAAAGGTCAAATTCTTGGAGGGCTTAACTGTCTTTACGGACGAGTCAAAGTGGAATGCGGAGTTTGTGCAGGAGTTTTCATTGAGCACTATAACCTAAAACAATAATTTCGCATATCAGAATATGCAAGCGTTTTCCTGGGCAAAACGTTTGCTATTAAGAAGGAAGTAAGGTACATTAAAGAGAATGTATCCGCGAGAACGCAGAACAGCCAAGCGGCCATTCAGGCACTCTCTTCTACCTCTGTTAGATTTCAACTAGTGGATGAATGTAGGGAAGAGCTGGCCTACATTTCTGATCAGTACGAAATTACCCTAATATGTGTCCCTGGACATAGGAAAATTTACGGAAACGAAGCAGCTGACGTACTAGCAAGGACTTGCTTCTCGCTGAATGTGTACCAAGCGGTGGACATGGGCGCCTCGCTCAGAGAGATTAAGACAAAAGTTATCGAAATTTATTACTCGAAGGCCAAGAAGAGGTGGAACTACACAAGATCTTACAGGATTGTCCGGCAGTTCTGGGTGTCCCACGCACAAAAAAGATGCTACAAATTTACTGCAGTGTGCACAGGGCACTGGCTGGTTGGGGTGGATGCCGAAAGGATAGGACTGCCGGGCTCAAAAGAGAGAGTCGAAAACTTCCTGTGCGAGTGTCCAGTCCTCGCAAGGATGAGGCTAAAGTCACCCGGCAAACCATTCCTGCAGAATATTTCACAGGGTGCAGCTGCCTCTCTCTATATGACGTACACCGTAATTTATTACCAGCGATCCAGGAAAGCCACAACTGCCATCTACGCCAGCAAAGTAGCGGTGGAGAAGCGGTGGTGTCTAAATTCACCCATAATACACTGGATGTATGTACCCGGTGGTTGTACGACTCATTGACTTAGATCCAGAGTTTACTGCCATCTTTACGGATAGGTCAAATTTCGGCAACAAGGTTGGTAGCGGAATTTACTTGTAATACTTCTGCAGTGTTTTCCAGGCCGAATTAACAGCTTTATGGAGGCCGATGTCGGCATAATTTCGCCCCAGCCCCTATACAATCCGTTACCATTTATTTAGAATGTAGAAAAACTTTAAACAAACTATCCGCGAAGTGACCGTTAACGTGGTATGAGTACCCGGGCACAGTGAAATACCAGCACACTGCGTGGCAGATGAGCTCGCTAGGTGGCGAACTGACCTATACTCAGTTAACCCTGCGCATAATGCAAGCATCCCCCTTCTTCTTCTTATTATTTGGCACTACAATCGTTTGTCGGTTTGGGCCGAGACCATAAACCTGCTCCTGTTGCTTCCCTGCTGTACGCCAGTTTGGTTATCCCGTGCGCAGCAGGTCCTTCTCCATTTGGTCCTTACATTGCGTTCGTGGGAGCCCTTGCTTTCGTTATCCACCCATGGGTGCTGAGTCGAAGGACCTTTTCACTGGAGCCTCGTCATCGTACAACATGTCCAAGCCAGCGCAATCGCTGTATTTTTAGCCGCTTAACTAAATTCATGTAGGTGAAAAGCTCATATATCTTGCGTAGAATAGTTCTCTTGAAAGCCCCCAAAGCCTTCTCATCTTTGTTCGACATCGTTCAAGTTTATGCACCATATAAAAGGACGAGCATGATGAGAGATTTGTAGAGCATGATTTTTGTTCGTCGAGAGAGGGCTTTTCAATTGCCTATCAAGCTTCCGGCATCATATTGAAAAATTCCCACGAGAGTGCCTGAAACTTCGTTTGGCTTCATAGGCGCTGTTGAGGAAAGTCTGGCAACTCCTCCGCATGCAATGTAAACTAAAA